ATAAAGATATATATTACTGTGGTAGCATATACTAAATATATATATTACCACAAATTGTGGGCCAATAGTTTTGCCAAAGCTTAACCGTTTACTGTTGTCAAGCTTCAAATCACTAATCTACATTCTTTCTTATACTTTTAACTGGGTCAAAATAAATATGTTTAAATGTAGAAAGAATATAAATTCATAATAATGTAAGAAACTGCATTTTAATACAATAATTCTGAAGTATATAAAACCACCTTCCCATGTGCCATAAAGTGCAGTCAAATACTTTCTCAGTGTATAACAGAGCTAAACTCATTTGTATCATAATTACTTCACCAAGGAAAACAGCTATCACCATTTAACTCCCTTGCCTTAGTCATGTCTCATCATGTTGAATGAGTTCCCTCTATTAATTCCACCCACACTGTCTGACTCATGACCCTGTAGCGATTAACTGCCACTTATCATAACCTGCTACTCACAGCAATCATGTATTTTTTAAAAATGGAATTCTACACCAGATTTCTTTTAAAAAAGGTTTGAACTAAAGAAGTTACAAAAAAGCAAATTCAACATTTAGAAATTCAGCAAAATAAATGAAAATCCTACAAGATACTATTAGGATGAAAATTAATTTCTTCTGCAGCATAGATGGTTTGTGATTCCAGGAGAATTAGACAATGACAACTTTCTGAAAATACTCTAAAATAACCAGGAGGATATCACAGATCCTCCTCTGTTTCCTCCGGAAGAGAATAAAGGCACTAGTTTTCTACATAAAAGTGAGGATAGGGAAGAGAGATAAAGAGAGTACACCTTTGCTTCCATGCAGTTATCAATGTAAATTCTCCATTTCCCAATCCTATGTCCGCATACTTCACTACTTAAGAAAAGTGAAAGACATAACAAGTTTTTCCAACTAATTGCTTTAAGCTCTACATATCTGTCCCAGCTTTCATCAACATATTGTGAAAACACTGCTTCAAAGCTTGGAGGCAATATAGAATCTGGGTAATGTGCTGTGAAATTACTACTTTAAATTATTTTTAAACTTAAAATCTGAATTCCCAGGAGTTTCTATCTCATATTGACATTACAAACAATTATAGATATATAAGTACTAAAGTACATTTTTCTTCAGAATTTTAATGCTGAAGATTTTAAGGAAAAAAACAATTAAGCTGCAACCATATGGTGGTGAAAATGCATTCCTAGGGTCATCAGATAACTCAGAAATCCCCATCCTGCTGAGGTAATACATAACCTCAGGAGGGGGAGAACTGATCTCTCATCCCCCCCATGCCTCGTAGAACTACTGTACTATGGAGATTTTCACTGTGGAATCCTTCCAGTGTTAGACTTTCTACCTTGACATAGGGACAGAAAGTATGCATAGGAGGTATACTGGTGGGTGGGGAGGAAGAGGACATGTATCCACTATATCTACAGTTATCTCAATGCTGACTACCTCCCAAAAAAAGAAGATGAATTGAGTCATGCCTCAGGGTATGTATGTCTAACTCCTTTTTCTGCCACTCCATTCTATGGGAAAGATTTTCTGGTTAAAAACAAAAAAACAAGATCTGCTGGGTTAAAACCAAATAAAATAAAAATGATTCCATCAATACTTCCATGCAGCTGACCTCAGAGAACTCCATCAAGCAGACACATCATCTTTGGCTTGCTTTCTAAGAATCCTACAAATGGATTATTTGAGAAGGGCACAACTTTCATGCCCATTCTGGAAACTATGCTTCTTTTAAAATATAGCTATTTACATACAAGAAACTATTAGAAAAGTCACTGACAAAGTACAGATTTTAAAAAAAACTGGAACATTTATTCTAAGACTCTCATTCATGTTAGGTCTTTAAATAGGTCTTACACAAAATGCAGTGCTCCCAAATGTTAAGAAAATAATTGTTCAATCCTACCAAATGAACTAATCAATCCAGGAAAAAAAACCCTTTTATAAAATAGTAAGACAAGTAACTCTCTTATGCTGAGAATTCAGAACTGAACTGGCATATATACTTTGCTCAAGAAAAGAAATGCAATAATCTCATGTGACTGTTTAGCATTCAAAAGTATTGTAAGAGCTTCTACCATAAAAGTCAACAGATCACAGCCAATAATTTCAAGAATTCCTACTCTGCATCACCAGTGATGTACAGTATATAGTTCCTGAAATAAACCTCTTCTGCAATATAACTGGCCAATACAAATAAATAAAATTAAGTGATTATCTGCAGTCTACAAAGGCAACTGTTCAAATTACTCTGCTTATGATACATTTTCATGGTATTACCATTACAGGTTTAAAGGGGAAAAATATCCAAGAATTAAAAACTATGTTCAATATGGAGCCCAAAGAGCCATGTGCAAAATATATTCCCTACCTCATCCCCAGAACATCATGAGCTGACCCTGTGGAACTCTGGCCCATTTCTTTAAGAAACTAAGGACAGAGACATCAGACTTATTATAAAACAACATTCAAAATTGGACTCTATTGGATTATTATGTAAGATGCTATTATAAAGTACAGTAATATATTTCTTGCTGACAATTTATTTTGAGCACAATAAGCACTGTTGCCACTGCTAACAATGAAACCAAATAAAATATTTTGGAAACTCAGAAGCAGAAGATAAACTAAAAGGTATCCTAAAAGTAATCCTTCCACTACACTGAGGTGCACAGTCAAAAAATTAAACTAACAAAAATGAGATCAGAAGAACTATAGAAGTTTTTTTTAAGTGTAAGAAATCTAGACCAAGTATTAACACAGTTATCAATGGGTATTCCAATGAACAACACTCTGCTTATTTTCAAGGAGATCTGATGAGTCAATGTGTTGTACTTTCTTCTCGTTTATACTGAAAGTTATGATATGACCGTGAAGATATATGAACTTAATTACTTTGAGATTCCCTCAACCATAAAAGTATTTTAGTTTATTTCTTGTACACGGTCTTGTATTCATGATTTAGGATCAATTCTCGGATATTTATCAGAAGACCTGGAAGAACCAGGTCTACCATCTCTCTAGCATTCTGACATGGTATTCCAATATTTTAAATATGAATCATTTTATGTGCTGCTTTCAGAGTGGAATATGTTTATTCACATTCTTCCAATATTTATAAGTGTATTCCATGAAGAAGCACATTCCTGAATTAAAGCTGCAGCAAGCATTTTTCCTCAGAATTTCTCTGGGCCAAACAAACCTATCATATAAATTCAGTTCTGAGCCCCTTCGTCTAGTGTAACTGTTCTATTAAAATAAAGTCAATATAAGAAGGAATGAAATAAGCCAAGCACATTTTCTGTATATGTACTGCCTAATCACTGAAAACAAATCCAGCAGTTTGTAATTAACAAAATGTTCCATAAGTTCCACAGCAACACCTTACGTACATTGAAAGCATTTATGATAGATCAACAAATCAATAAATCAAATAAATCAATAAATGCAGAAAAAAGTTTCCACTGGAAACTTTTTTCTGCATTGATTTTATATATTTCAAAGTACTGTATCTTCCATGCAACTTACATTCATCTTCATTTCAATCACTATGTGTCTGCAAAGGCAAATGTGTCTATCTCTTGCCACCTAAAGATCAAATCTCAGGATATGTAGGGAACCTGAGGGCATTTTTTTACTATTGTGGATTAAGCTGACTCGTACAAAGTCAGATACAATGAATGCTAGCTGTGATGCATTATCTTTCACTACACATGGTATAACAAACCTCTGGAATTAAAAATATATATTACAATGCAGTGGCTTTTATATACCACTGATACCTATTACAGTGGCTTTTATGTACCATTAATACCTATTAGTATTTCAATTATGAAGCCTTGAATAAAATCAGAAATATAAGGCTCAAGAAAAGATTAGCTGCAATATTCAACTATAAAATCCACTCACTGGAATGACTGAGGCCAGAAATCAACAAAACACTTACTTTTAAAACTTGAATCTAGACAGCACAAGTGAATGTGCCATTTTTACATAAAATATTAATGGCTTGTATATGTGCTTTCTGTTTTGTCTTCTTGGGTGAGATTTTTCAGATTATTTTGAAAATCAAGAGTGAAATTCTCTCCAGCAGCCTGAGCAAAGGGATAGCTGAAGAAAAGATTTATATCTAATGGTGCTGCACTTTCTGAATCCCATGAGTCATCAGTACTACTAGAGTCTTCTGTAGTGGTAGGAGGGTAGCTTAGTTGTTCCAACTGATCAATAATGTCAGTAAACTGAAAAGCTGAACTTGACTCAGAGCGAACTGAATAAGCTGGAAAATTCACCATAGAACTAGCTTCTGAATGATTAGCAGAGCCATAAGTGTGCAAAAAAGATGTACCATTTAATGTCAAATTATTGAGAGAACTGCTTTCAGATCTATTATTAATAAGTGAACTAGTTTCAGAAGGACTCAGAAGACTCTGCATTCTACTTGCCTGAGCTTTAACTTCAAATAATTCTGAGGTACCTGACGGCTGCTCATTTCCATTGAAATCGCTCTCTCTTTCAAATTCGAACTCATCATCTATGTTCATATCTACTGCTTCTATGGAATATCTGTCAGGACTTGACTGAGAAGATACTGTATTTTGTTGCAGAATTTCTTTAGTTAAAGCAAGTGAATCTGAGAGACGCTTAGACAGATTTGAGTCCTGTAAATATAAACCACCATACAAATAAAATGCTTCAGATCCTCCAGCAAAAAAGGAGATTTCTGCTGGATCATCATCAATGAACTCTTCTGAAACCTGAAGCTGGGAGTTAACCAGTTTTACAAGTGGGGCACCTCTACCTTGAGGCTGGTGAAGTTTGTCAGCAATGGTTATACCTGTGGTAAAATCATCCTCATCATTGTCATTTTTACAAGAAGCCCTATTTAATTTTTCACGCTTCTCTACAGCTACATCTAAACCACAGCTATTCTCAGTACCAGAACAAATGGGGCTGCAGTTTTCTGCAACATTGCAAAACCCAACACCTTGGAATGACTGCAGTATTGGTGATCCAGGCTCCTGTAACACTTTTTTTCCAGTTTCTTCTGATACCCCACTATTTCCTTCTGTGGACAAGCTCCTTGTATGTGACATTCTGGGCTCCAAAAAGAAGGTATTACTCTCTGTGAAAGCAGGCAAGCTTGCCATGTTTGTGGATGATAGGTTATCCAAAGGGAAGGATGAATATGTACATATATTAGGTCCTGGGGTTCTTAACCCTTCTGTAAATGAGACACTCTGAGGGAGAAAAGAAGAAAGACTTTTATTAGATCAACTAATTAAGCACACAAATATGCCTACATGAACTGGAACATAAACATGTAAAGACATCACATGACTTTACGAAACTATAATTATATGTATCTATTTTATATTGATTTGGTTTTACTGGTCTTTGACCGTAATAAAATATTCATTCATTCACCATCACATGTACTTGATGAAACGTGAATCAGAAATTCAACCATGATGCCTAGTGCATCCTCATGAGAGGATTTGCCCTTATTTCCAGGACTTAACAGACCTGACTTGCCTCTTGAGAATCTGCCCTTCTAGAAGTGGCCAGGAAGAAACAATACCCCATTTTCTCTTGTATATCATGATTCCTATAGGAATGTAACAGTTCTTTTATCATGCCAGTACTTCCCTATATTAATATAAATCAAATAATTTTATATCTCAATCAAAGCAGTAGACAACAGCACCAAGATTATTAAGAAATATTTCTTGCTGCAGGTATCAAAATAAGGACACTGATAAAAGGATAGTCATTCTGAGTCAAAATTTATTACATCTTAAGTGACTACATCTTTCCCTGTTATGTCTCAATCGTGTGTAACAATGAGATCAGACTTGAGAACTTAATCCGTATTGGAAGGCAGTTCTCAAGTCAAAAAGTCTGTAAGTCAAGTCTCCATTGACCTACAGTGCATTGAAAACCGATTAATCCCGTAACAGGCCGTTTTTGTTCCATATTGTTTTTTTTCTGGTCTGTAAGTCAATTCTCAGGCTGCAAGTCAAACCTAAATTTTGCGGCCAGAGAAGTCTGTAACTCAAAAAGTCTGTCAGTCAAGCCGTCTGTAAGTCAAGGGTCCACTGTACTGTCATGCTACATTATTCATATGGATATACTCATATGGATATATTCATATGGATATACAGTATATCATATGGATATACTGTATTCAGTTCTTTTTCAGTTGTTTTGATACACATGGAGTTTATTGTATAATGTTCTTTATCTGAAACAATAAGTTTTTGTACTAAAATGTGAAAGATACAGTATCACATGGCTCCAGTGGAGGGCTTAGGAATTTATGATATAGCAACACATATATCATTATTATACCAAGATCCATGATTCATCAAGCAGCTGCCCCAAAATAAATACAGTATTGGTAAACCTATGTAGCAACCGCATTCTCCAAGAGAGGTAAGTAGTTTCAATATAAAGTTTCTGCACTGAAAATTATACAGGGCAGAATCATGTTCAGATACACAATAGTCCAAAATAAATCATGCAAGCACTGGGAGGCATTGTGAAGGCTGTCTATCATGTCTTACATCATATTCTGCTTGCACAACCAATAATGTGACCAGTCACATAACAGGCTGTTGGCAAACCACCAAAACTGCTCATCTGATTGGTTTCGGCCACCACTCCTCACTACAAGGTTCTCACTCTTTCCTATGTACCCCCCCTCTCATAAGGTTTACCCGAGACTTTGTGCCCTCATCTCTATGGGACTATAACTCTCATCATCCCCAGACAAGATCACCTGATTATCTTTAGTCTAAATAGATATGGGACAAGAATGGCTTAGTTCATTAGATTGCCTCACAGAAACTGGACTGCTTAATGGGGCTACACTAACTTGTGAGACCAGTCCAGATGGCTGGAGGATTTCAAGACACCTGACACCATCCTTGATAAGGTTATAGCAGAGTCAGGCTTCACTGTTTTCCCACCACTTTTAATCATGGAATTTACACGACTTTGGGCTAAGACATCTTGCTGGTAACACAAAACATTGGAATAAGGGCAATTAAGATACTGCTGCACACAATCAAGTCACTTTCAACTTATGATAACCCTAAGAATTAATGACCTCCAAAAGATTGTGCCATTAACAGTCCTGCTCAGGTCTTGCAAACCAACAGTCCAGGCTTCCTTTATTGAATCACTCCGTCTCATATTAGCTTTTCATTTTATCTATTGCTTACCATTCTTGTCTTTTTCAGTAAGCCTTGCCTTCTTACACTATGCCTGAAAATTATAGTGAAAGATCAGGCTTAATTTGATCTAGAATCCATTTATGTATCTTTCTGGTGGCTCGTGTCATTTGTAAAGCTCTTCTTCAACATCACATTTTGAATTAATCATTTTTCCTTGTCAGTTAAAATAAAAATATAAGGAATAACAGGCCACAAATTCCATCAGTCTTCCAGCTGTCCGGCAGCAACAAATACAATCTAGAGATCCTTGGGACTTCCACAGTGCAGGTGGATGCCTGCCTTCCTATTTGAAGCAGCAGTAGCATGGGAAGAGCATAAAAGTAAAGAGAGCTAGTCTAACCACTTTTGGTTTGGGGACTTTCACTCCCTTAATTCTGCCTGAGGGGTTCTTCATGAATTCTACAAATGTCCTAAAATTACAAAAATCCCAGTCCTAATAGACAGTATTTACTCTCAAAAACATTACATATTAAAACATCATAATTTTTAGATAAGTGCTATACATAATAAATTCCTGATTGGTAAAAATACCATGAAATATTGAACATGAATTGCATCCAAAGGATTGTGGAGTTCAATCAGCATATCTAAGGGAAGTAGATTTTAAAAAAGAAGAACCTTGTACTTCTAAAACAATACCAACCCTAACAAATGGCAGAGGTCTGAAAGTAAGAGGACTTTCATAAGCAGTCTATGATATAGTATGGAGGTCTGCCTTTCAGAAATACTTAACATTCCACTGGACATGCTCCAAGGCCAACCTGCTCTGCACCAAGACACACGCTCAAAATCATAACATTTCAGCAACACTATGAAAGTTAAAAACAACCTCAGTTTTTAAAAACTACTTTATTAAAAATGGGAAAAGGTATCATTAAAGAAGTTGACTTTCATTATCCTTGTGATCATGATAATTGACACATACTTTTATTTCAAGACTAACCTGTTTGGGGGCATCAGCAATCAAGGCATGAGCAGACATTCTAGTTTTGCTATGTCTCCTGTAAATGAAGAATATGCTATGAGTACTCAAGAGGTTATCCAAACATTTTATCAGCAAGCCTATATATATTTGTCCCTAGAACCTTTTAAATACCTCCCCAATAGAAGTTTAGCTGCTAGAAGTCTCCAGTGGCAACCCTTATTTAAAATCCTTGCCTTGTTTTGTTCCCAAAAGTGCTTTTACAAAACCAGAATTTACTTCCAACCATTTTCAGTTTCTGGAGGAAGGGACTATGAGGCCCTATAGTAAGTCCTAGAGGCAGAAAATTGGCTCCTGGGTCCACCAACCTGCCCACCTTATTATATATAAAAATGTACATTTTAAAAGTTTTGCCAGCTAAAAAAGGTTATTTCAAAATAATAAAAGTATATGAGCCTCAAAAAATTTGTCATCATTGATTCAACATGCATAGTTGCCCCGTGGCCCCTCGCTGGGAGAAAGGCAGCATATAAATGACACCCAAAATTAAATAATTAAATAAATCCATTATTTATAATTCAAAAGCATAAAATAAATCATGATTTGTATCTTGAAAGCAAAAGATAACATAAATGGACATATAGATACTGGCTTCAGATTACACAGATGAACTATATTTCATTATCAGAATGGTAACAATAAAATTTATAACAGAGCAAATAATTTTCAAAAAATTCAGAAAGTACAATAACATTATTTTAAATCCATCATAAGCCAGCCTAACAGAAATATGTATGGCCTGCCTAAAAGTAGCAAAGATGGTGCCATCCTGACTTGTTTAGGAACTGAATTTCCATATTTGGGTTGTTGTTGCAAAAGAAACTGTTCCCTGTCTATATCAACCTAACTTCTCTTAGTAGTGCATATCACACAGCCTTTGAAGAATGTAAATATATTAGCCTCAAAATATTAAGAGTGATTTAGGTAAGAACTAGAACTGTGACTCTAGCCTGGACTATTTGTGGAGCCTGCATAAGATCAGAAAGCAATCTGGTTGATGCATTTTGTGCTATCTATAGTTTCTCTACAACCTTCAAGGGCAGCAACATGTAACAGACTGCAGAAACATAAATGGGAAGTGATTAAGGCAGCAAAATTAGTGTTACAAAATAAGGGAGATTGGTTAAGAGCAGAGATACCCAAAGAATATCCATGGGTCCCAAACCATTTTAAAATTACAAATCTATCCTTCAGAAGCAGTGCAACCTCATTCAAACCAGTATGTACTCCCAATATTGAATTGGCTTGTCTACTGCCCAATTAAAGCAGCATTTTGTCTGGATTGAGACTCACACTTTTAATCCATATTCAATACTCCAAATTACTGCAACCAGATAAATGGTGCAAGACTCCTCCAGCATTGTTAATATAGTTTAGAAACAGTGTTAATTATGATACTCTAGCCCTAAAATCCAGATGATCTTTCTCAGTGACTCTGGGTGGATATTAAAAGGCACCAAATATACAACAGAGTCCAGAAAAAAACCTAAAGGCCAACAGCCCAAATACAACTTCCAAGAATGCTAAATCAAATGAAACTAGGAAAAGCAGTGATACATTCCTCTGTCCAATTCTAAGTGCAGGTTGCAAGAGTAGGGATGAGTCTTCTGCATTTTACTGAAAGACCTAAAACACAAAAGAGGCTCTCTTTCATGTAATTAATGTTCTTTTATCAATTGCCAAAAGAGAGCTTCTTCTGCCTCCTATTGCCTACTGGATTTAATAAAGACAAGCAATAGAGGGAGGATAGAAATGTCGCCATATCTAGTACTTTTAGTTGGAGGGGAGTCTTTGACTGTATTTTTGCCTTTATTTGCTTGCTTGCTTTTCTTGGTTTTTGGGACACGGAGCTATGCTGGGTCTTTCTTTCTTTCTTTTTTCTTTTTTTGCAGTTAGCAGCTGGTACAAATGTCCAGGGAGGAAATGGGATTTTGAATCAGCAAGAAGGGCCTGGATTGATTGAAATACGTTTTGCTTCATTAGTTTGCTGAGTGGTGTGCAGCCTTCTGGTGTCCTCCATCTTGGATTGTGCTATCTGTCTCCCTCGTGTCTCTTTCGGATCTCCTCACCGTTTGCCTTTTTTCTTGATCTTTTCAGAGATCCCCCCTTTTTTTGGCTTTTGGGGAATTGTTTTGTTTGCTTCTGCAAAGGGTCCAGAGGGGTGTGCTTGCTTTGCCATTGCTTTTGTAGTTTTTTTTGGGGGGGGGTTAGATCATTGCCAGAAAACATGAATAAGGAAAACAAACACATACATCCCAAAACACGCAATCCCTTTCATGAAAAATGAAATAACTAGTGCACAAAGCACAAACAAAAGAAGCACATACCCCAAAGAAAAAATCTGAAACAAAACAAATATGAAACGTTTCACTGTGCACACCCCTAGTTAATATCTCCCAACACAACCAGTTTGGAGAAAATGAGTTCTCCAGATGTTGCTGGATGACAATTCCCACAATCCTGTAGCACTGACTGTCACTTAGGGCAGATAGGAGGTGCAGTCCAACAACATCCAGGAGACTACAGATGCCCACCCAATGTATACAGCAATGAACAAACACATAAGCAAGGACGCAAATAGCAGATTCTGCCATACCTTGCAGTAGGAGTTTTTAAAAAACCCCACTTCTCTCTTGTCCTCAAATCCATATCACCAAGTTTAAGATGCACAAGATGGCTTGAGAAGTAACTATAACTTCTTCTAGCCAAGGACAATTCCCAGTGAAGTATTAATATTTTTCATTATATTCAGTGACTCTGGTAAATAAAATCTCAGGTTCTGAATCTAAAATATCATAGAAGAGCTAAATTCTGAATGCAAACAGAATTTCATTATTACAGAATAAGCTAGGAAAGACACAAGATAACCAATGAAGGAAGCTCTTCACATATAAAAGAGTTTGTTACCTTTCATATGGAACTTTTTTCAACCCACTTTCTTTAACATAATCCACCAACTGTTTCTGTGTGCGCCCACTATAAAGAAATAAGAAAAAATATTACTAAAAATTGATAAAAATTCTGGGTTTTGGGCTAAACATTTGGTACTCAAGGAATAAGATCCTAAATCTTTAATGTAAAAAATTACATTCTTTGACATTTTTCTTGATTCCTTTTTCCAGAATCAAACAAACTGGACTACATCATACCTGTATCTGAAAGATGATCCTCTGCTGAAGAACACAGCTTTTGACTTTGGTTTTGGCTGATCAAACAGCCTGAAGAAAGTATGATACTCAACACATATTTTCCAGAAGTTCTTGCATTCATCTCTACTTCCTAAAAGAAACTCCAGAGTATCCTGATATGGACCCTAAAATTGGAACACAAGGTAGTCAAATATGCTAGCTCCTCTCCTGCAAGTTGAAACAAAGTAACTGCCTAGAAAATTTAAAGCAATTGTGGTCTGATCTGCCTATTTCCACCTGAGGCAGATTGCCCAACTACATCCTATCTTGACACCTGTCCCTCGCCATGCTGGTCCATGCTCTAATAATCTCAAGAATAGATTACTGCAATGCCTTCTATGTGGAGCTTCCCTTGAGACTAATATAGAAGCTTCAACTTTGATATTGGTTACCTGTCTGCTTCCGTATCAACTTCAAGGTGATGGTTCTGACCTATAATGTCCTGAACAGTTTGGGACCTCAGTACATGGCAGAACGCTTACTCCCATCTAGAACTGCCCATCCCACTTGCTCATCATAAGCTGAAGGCGCTGACCGCGATAGAGGCCCGGAAGGAACAAACAAGGAATCGGGACTTTTTGGAGGTTACGCCCCGCCTATGGAATGATCTACCACCAGAAATCTGTCTGGCTCCCTTCTTGATGTCTTTTAAGAAACTTTTTAAAACATTTTTATTCCAGCAGGCTTACCAGAATCAGCCAATTTAAGATCTTGTGAGATTATCAAACTTTTATACTTATTGCTGCTTGTTTGGTCTATTTTAACTGTTTAATTTTAAATTGTTAACCATCACTGACAGAATTCAAGACCAAATGATCACTCCTTCAGTGAGGCAGCTGTAAGTACTGAATTACATTTCCTTCTATGACTAACTCCTGAGTAACCTCAGCTGGCATATGCATGAATCAACTTTTGAAGGAAACCGTAGTGCACATTCTACAGAAGTGAAGTTATGGAAAAGAAGGTACCACAAACAGATACAGTAATATCCTGACACAAAGGTAGGATAGGCACAGAAGGCACATATAGTGGGTGAAATCCAGTGGCAGAATTTAAACCCCATAAGGCCAATGATGCCATCACCTATGTTGTTTTTCTCAAATTAAAATTTCTGATTACGCCGCTGCAGGATCCAAGCCTCTGGATCTCTTGTGGGGAAGTGATTAGGGATCATGGGCTGGGGTGGGGAATTTTTAAGTTCTAAAAACTGCTGCAGTAGCAATTTCAAAATCTCACCAACACTGTTCTGTGGCCCCCAATTTATTCCTCACAATTACAGAGATCCCAAGGAAGCAAAGGAACATTTCTGCTCAATGTTCTACCAATCTGATTCTGTATTTTTCTCACTACAAACATACAACTCCAATGTTGATTATTTCATAATCCATAATATCATATTTTATATATTTAAACACCATAACCTCATTCTTTTACAAGCAAAACTGAAGATACACATCCTTTATTAATATGAAAACTTCAATTCAGAGAATAGCTGATTTATGCAAAAAAAAGCCCACACATGAGCTCATATGTCAATAAATTTGAAACTGGAAGAGACAAGAAATCACTTACATGAACCTCTGGGTGAAGTTTGATAAGGAATCTTTTCCTCTTAAAGCTTATTTTTCGGATTTTGGACCAGTTGAAAGTATTGATTTTTGTATTACCCTATAGTAAATACAATGTGAAAGTTGAGGAAAAGTATGTAATGTTTATGATATAAGCAAAATAAACCCATGAACAGATGTGCACTGCCAAAGTTATCTAACTGAATTATTTCCTTTGAATCAGAATTACAAACAATTCTGAAGTTCCTTGTAAAATAACAAGATAATTGAAGAAGACTCCACTACATCTAAATGAACTTCAAGAGTTGAAAAGCAGGGTTCCATACAAACTGTAGAAGTACAGTACAGAAACTTCAAAGACGTTGCAGGTTCAAACTTTTGCTACACCCAAATGTCATGTTACTTGTTTTATTCCTTCTCACTCTTCCTACTTGAATGGGCAATCTATGCTGCACATATTCTATTACAAATTAGACCACTCTATTAATTTCAAAGGGAATGTGTTCAACAAATTGTGTGCAGAGATACTTTTTCAGTTCAAGTTATTTGTAAAGGCTATTTCTCAGGCAGAATTTAGTCCAAAAACACAAGTTTGCACATTTATACTCCATAGATACATGCAAGCAGGCAGATACATGCACAAGAGGAAAGGAAGCAAACCCTTTCTAAGGAAGCACTTGTCTGCATATGTGCACACAGAAGGGTGATAGAAAATGAAAGAGTGGGACACAAGAAATAGGTGGGCACGTGCAGCTGCTTTTGTGCGCACGCATCTGCCTATACCACCTTATGCTGCCTGTCCTCATGGTATGGCAGTGGTGTAAGTGGGTACGCACGTGCAAAGAGAGAAGGTTGCAGCAGTGGGTCCAGCATTATGAAACATAAAGTAAAGCCCAAGTAGTGGTGTGCACATATGTGTTTTTTTGGGCTGCAAGTTCCAGAATTTTCCCTGGAGAATTTTTGGAAGTTGCAGTCCAATCCTGGGATGTGCTGCCTAACGAATTCTGGAAAATGAAATCCAAAAAATGCATATGCACACATCTAGTTTTTTTTATTCCAAGTCCAACTACTGTTCTGGCATGAAAGAAAAAAAAAAGCTAGGGCAAGTTCAGTACTCAAAACACTTCCTTTTTTGCCTGAGTTTACTGCAATGCTGTCCTCAGTATATGCTGTATATTTTGTTAATAAAACAAAGTGCTTGGTTTGAACGCAGCTGTTGTGATTTAATCCAAGAGGATTCAAGTACAGATTATGCCACTACATTCCTGCCTTAGGCCTCTTGGTCAAGGTATCCCATTGCTTGATATTCAGCAGATATTAGCAGCTAACAATCCATTGGAACTGTTCGACTATAAGTTTAATTTAGAGATCAACCCAGACCCTTTCTGAATGAGAGGGAAGATAGCCTTAGAGATAATCATGCAATCTTTTGGTATAGTAATAAATGTATTGAAGGTGTGGAAGTTGAGGATATGCTGAAGTTTGGTGTCCCATTTGGGAATGATAAAATTACATAAGAAATTCTGAGAGAAGGCTTGGGGACAGATCACCCCCTTGGAAAGGAGACAGTGCCTGATACAGTCATTGAAGATGTGTGTTTCACATGGCATGCTGGTGGGATACAGTGGTCAAGATTTTCTTAGCCTTGCTGGTTTGTCTTTTTGACACAGTGGTAGAAGAGAACCTACAGTACCCCTAGACACGAAAAATAGTGTCCTTTGGGAAGTGGAGGAAGAGAAGTTGTGTGGTTGGTGTTGTAGCAGGAGGCCAAGAAAGAACTTGAATCTCAGCTTAGTGTCATACCAATAGGTGTAAGAACCTGTCCAGAAATTGTGGCATCAATACTGAGGTGAACCTTGAGACAATAAACAAGATCAAAGGCCTAGACCAGGTCACTGAGAAAAACAGAATCGGTGGTCAAAGGACTAGAGGGATAGAGACTCTATCCTGAAAGGGATAGAGATGAGAGTTCTGACATTGAACTCAGTAATGTCTCAGTTAACAGTGAGATGAAGGTAAGTACAGCTGCTGTTTGTGAGCCGAGCAGGCTCAACATGTCTGACTGGAAGACACATGCAGCTCATGGGTGAAGAGGCAATGCAGAGCAGACAAGTAGAATTGGCACCAAGTCAGATTCTGAGATCAAGAAGATAGCCTAAGAATAGGTTACCAGGATCAAGCTTGAGACATGAGAGAGGGTTCTATCAGTTCACCATCTGAGTAGAAGACAGTGGCCTGGACTCAGGATGCTGAAGGTCTGCCCCCTGTGCTGGTGGAAGCAGCAGGCTTAGGAGTAAGGACACATGAGGATCTGAAGATTTTGGCATCAGTGGCAGAGTCTTATCTGAAGAGGGAGCTTAATGGAAAGCAGTGCTCTAATCCGAGGGGACGTGTTCATCCTTCTTGTCCTTTTTCTTCTTGTGGGCTGGTGAGTGAGACTGAGCCCATGTGCAGACAGAGTGATAGGTGCTTGTTGATCCTAGCTGGAGTTGAGTGTGACACAGAAGTCTCTGACAATCCAGTTGCTAAAGACTGGACATGCAACCAGTTAGTAGAGGGAAGCAGCCTGGAGCAAACTAAATACAGCCGAGGCATTCATTCATCATTGGGCTGCCTGCTCTGATGTCTGGAGGGATTTTTCCCAAGAGGAGATCCAGAGGTGTAACTGCCTGTTCTAAAATACCAGTTTCAACATGTTCTAGCTGTAACAACATTTCTTAATGATGTGGCCCTCTCTAAGGCAAAACAGGTAGTCGGAATGGTCACTGGTTTGTGGGATCATAGTTCTACAGTGCATATATTTCTTAAAGACTTTGATGTCATGACCAAGGCACCAAAACTGGAAGGTAAGGCATAGCCAAATTTTAAGCCATGATAAGAACACTGAATCTTCAGAATGATGGGAGAGGTGAATAGGACAGCCAATGTCAAAGCAAAAGTCATTAATCATATTATCAGCCCTAAATCAATCCAAGTTGGCTGGATAGCTCAGTGGTTTAAGTATCTGGTGGTGTCACAGGTTTTGAGTTCAATTCCCCACTGTGACTCCTGGGAGAAGAGCTCACCTGTGTAGTCATCGGCAACCTGCACAGCCCCAGGGGTCACAGAAGAAGGGAATGGTAACCCAGGGTGCCCCCAGAAAAAGGGAATAGTAAACCTGGAAAGGGTTGCTATAAATAAAAATTGAATTGATGGCGCGTGCACACACACACATACACACATACAGAGGTCAATCCAAGATGCAGACAAAGAGCCAGATGTAAAGCAACTGAGGCTTAGGCAGGAGACCCATGTATTTATTCCTGCAGGCGGGTGGACAGGGCTCCCACCAAAATATCTTCACTGTCACTTTTGCTCTCAAAGATTTTGAAGTCATTGTGCATGCACAGGATAAAAATAATGCATAATGCGCAGAAGCCAAGAAGCTGCAATAGTGGTTCAGTGCAGCTACAACTAATGCCTCTATCTATGAAACCACATTAACAGTTTTCTTTAAGTTATAAAGCTTGAGGCAGAGCAGGTGGTCCAGCCAGCCATGCAGGAACAATCACTATCTGCTATAGAGCAAGCATTTCTCTACTTGTTACGCTGAGAGAAAGTAAAGCAAAATCGTAAGTACAACCCCCCCCCCAAAAAAAAACCCTCTGTAACTGCTTTCCTACCTGGAATACCAGTACTCCCATGTTTGAAACAGCCAGATTAATTTTTGTTCCCTCACGATCAGATGCCAGGTGAAATCTCATACCATACATCTCTAATTTCCGAGCTATCTCAAGCACTTGGAAATCTGATTCAGCAGGAGTTTGGCCTCTATGATGATCAAGACAAAACAAAACACACACACACACAGAGAAGATATTAATAAATTACTTAACAACAGCACTACTGAAACACTATTATAGTCCATTAAGTTCCATGTAATTGCACCAGTGTTTCTAGCCACTGAACCATAAAGCTACATTACTGTGCAGAATGAAAACAGAAAACTTTGTGCAATATTCTACAAAAATAGCATGCATATGGTACAGCACAAAACAATCTATTTCTTATGAGAGAAACAGAGATCCTAATGTCATGCTTTGTGGTCAAATAATTCTCAAAATGGCTTTCAAGCAATAAATAGAAACTAGTGCCTTGAGAGGTTCCCTCAACAGAGCCTAAAAGTGAGACTACTGATCCCATGAACCCTTGCTATTCCCAGGTCTCACTGGCAGCAGTTTCCTTTTTCTTGAAAGGCCAATATAATGGGGATGGAGGCCTACATAGAGGTGAGAAAAGCTCTTCTTTAAATCACTGATTTGGGGCTGTATCTCCCACGATTCTGACTGGGGGAGGTCCTGGCTAGTTCTTGGAGATACAGTGGTGCCTTGACTTCAAACACCATGACATACGAACATTTGGACTTACGAACAGTTCCGGCTACACAATTTTGCTTTGACTTGTGGCCAGAGCTTTGACCTGCGAACAGAAAAAGGCAGGAGGAAAAGAAGGGAAATTCAAAAAACCTAACTATTGGTGGCGAAGAGGCTGCTTCTTTGTAGCTCTTTCACCCCAATCGTTAGGGAAAGGGAGGCTCAGCCTCCCAGGCTTCTGGCCCTGCCGTCACTGCAGCCTTCGGAGGCCTCCCGCTGCCATGGGGAGGCTTCCAGGAGGCCGCCGCCGCCGCCGCCGCCAATCGCTGCCTTCAGGCTTTCCCGGGGGTAGACCGGGCTACCAGGGGAAGCCAGGGCCCACATGTAGGGGGAGCATAGTAGTCTTACTCCTTGTCATTGCTTTAATTATGGAAATGCAGCAATCTGAAGAGGAGAGGCTGGTCTCATGGACAGGCTACCAGTACAGTGAAGCCCTCCTCTCTCCAGACTGTTGTATATTCATGATTAAAGCAATGATGGAGGGACAGGACTAGTGTATTGTCATCCACATGCTCTCAGCATATCTGAATAGAGCTTTGAGTGGTCTTCTGAATGATATACTGCATTATTCCAAAGCTAGTTGTATATATCATAATACTCTGCAACACACTGAGTAACACTTAGCAACATCCATTAAGTTAAACGTATGGTTTCTAGCACATCAGTCTTGAAGTTGCAGCCAGAAATAACATACTTGGGAATCTGGCTGGGTCAGACTGGGCTGTACACTCACAAACAATAAGAACAACAACAGATTTGTCCTTTTGCTACTCTACAGCAGAAGATGCTAGTGCCCTGTGGTATAAATCACATGCCAGATACAGTAGATGGACATAGCTCTTAATGAGTCATGCAGGATTATTACTGGCTGCCTGAAACCTACCACATCAAAGAAGTCAATTATTTGGGTGGCATTGCCCCACCAGAAGTATGTTGAGAGATGCTAGCAAATAATGAATTAAATAAAATAACACAGCATGAAACTCATCCACTTTATGGACACTGACCCCCTAGACAACAGCTAAATTGAGGAAAAATTTTCTGCACACATCTCAAGCTCTACATATTAAACCAGAAGAGGCTGTGCTAAATCTATGGATAATAAAAACAACACAGCTTGCCCAATGGATGAATGCTTGTCCTCTCACCAGGACAAGACTCTAGCTGGACTACCTGGAAGTCACTTAACAGCAAAGCAAAGTAGGAAGATCAAAGAATAATCAAGTAAAATGGAGCTACTTGGATACTGGAGAAATTTTCTGTGACTATGGAGAAAAGCAATGCAGCACTTATGTGCATGCAATTTATGCCTCACTAGTATACAAATTAAGATCTAGCAAAAGGCCAAGATAACACTATTGAAGTAACCCTCTTCTGGTCAAAAACAGTCTGTATATTCACATTTAATGTGTTTTCAATTTTACCTACATTTCATATACATCCATTTTAAATTGTGGAAACTCTGATACAAATCAGTAAAGAAAAGAACAAGTCTCTCCAATTGTCAGTCTTCTTTCAGTGTCAATACCAACAACCCAAACTGTTACAGATCTGTACCTGCCTTCTACCTCCCCTTCCAATGGACTCCAACTTCTGCTAGGATCATCTATGTCATTTCCCAGCAAACGTATCACGGTTAAATTAAATTAGAAGAAGAAACATTTGAATTCTTCCCTCTGGCACACAAGAGGGGATAGCTGCATATTCATTGCTTCTTATTACTTTTCAAGCCCAGACAATACATGGCTATACATACCAGCTTCTTAAGAAATGTTTCTGCAACTTTTCTATTAAATATTAATGACAAACCAAATTCAACATACAATGCTTGCCTAAAAAATAGCTGTACTTTCTGTTAAAAAGGGTAATATGTGTCTGAAGGAAGGAGAAACAAGAATTACACCAAGTGATCCACACTAAGCAAACAAATGTTTACAACTTGAAAGCCATTTCAGAGCAATTATCTTCAGATGTTTTCAGCTAACTAATCCTTATTGACCAGCCTGAAAACAATCTGGTCTAATTTTGTTATCCCTTAAGCAGATAAATCTGCTTAAGTTATCCCACAGCAGGGTACTACCACTTTAGAGAATATTCTTAACAATGTTCCTGTGATACATTTCAATAGATCATGTTTTTAAAATGAATTCTATTCTTGCACAGTTCAATAACTGTAAGCCAGTTTGGTGTTGTGGGTATACAGTCAGACATCTGGGATAAAATCCCTGCTGAGTCATGGAAACTCATTGGCAGTGGTGGAGACAGGAAATCACTTTTTGAACATCACCTCAAAAATCTATTATGATTGCCATTAAGTTGGAAGCATCATGGCAACATGTAATGCATTGTCAAAATCCTACTCCATAAATTGCCCCTGCATAAAGGTGATGCTATCACAAGCAGGGGGGAAAATTCAGTAATTAAAGACTTCTGTCCTACGGCTTGTGCAATTTGCACATAATCAATTTCATTGTATGCAAACTGTAGAAGCCTTGGCACAGAAGGAAGAAGTCTTTAATTACTGAAATTCTCTCCCCAACACATCTTGATGACACATCTCACAGGGAGAGAATTTAGGTACTTCTTCCTTTTGTCCCAGGACTCTCATGTCTCCCATGAAATGAAACTTGCACATTACCATTTATTAAAATATGAATTTAATTTTAATTACTGAAAATTGCTATCCCCAGGATGACTTTACCAGTATGAACCTTACTCGGTATAAGTTACAGAAACATGTTTCAGCCACACTATTAAAGAAGTTATGTAAACTTTCTTAATTTCACTGCGATTTTTATTAGATATTACTTATTATAGCCATCATAATAAGGTAAAGGTAAAGGCTCCCCTTGACATTTAGTCCACTTGTGTCCGACTCTAGGGGCTGCTGCCCATCCCCATTTCCAAGCCGTAGAACCCGCGTTTGCCCATAAATAGTTTCCGTGGTCAAGTGGTGAGCACGACCAGACACGCGTTACCTTCCCACGTGGTGGTACCTATTTATCTACTCACATTTTACCTGCTTTCGAACTGCTAGGGTGGCAGGAGGTGGGACAAGCGACGGGAGCTCACTCCATTGCATGGATTCACTCTTACAACTGCTGGTCTTCCGACCTTGCAGCACAGAGGCTTCTGCGGTTCAACCCACAGCGCCACCATAATAACTACTGTATACGTTAAAAGTTAAAAGTAATATATTTTTGAGTAGCTAAATACTAAAAGATACCTATGTTACTCAAAGTTCATAATGGCAATATAAGGTGTTGATCTTAACAATTGCCTGGTTTGAGCTACACATTGCCCATCATGTCTGAAGCTCATATATACGTATACCATACCACTGAATGTTATCTGTGTACCATACACAAACACCATGATACGTCTCAGGTTTGCATCATCCTGTCTGTAATTCAACAGAGCTGCCCAGCCTATCAGATACAGTGGTGCCTCGCTTAACGAGCACACCGTTTAACGACGAATATGCATAGCGACGTGTTTTTTGCGACCGCTAATGCGATCGCATTGCGATGTTTTAATAGGGAAAACATCGCATTGCGATGATCTTCACATTGTGATGTTTTTTAAACAGCTGACTGGCGGTTCCAAAATGGCCACCGTATCCGCAAAATGGCTGCCCGCAGCGTTTTCGCGCCCTGCCCTCGCTTACCGGGCTGCAAAAATGGTGGCCGGATCGAGGATTCCCCGCATAGCGGTGAGTTTTCGCCCCAATAGGAACGCATTAAACCCGTTTTAATGCGTTCCTATTGGGTTCCCCCCCCCCGCATAGCGACGAATCCGGATAGCGACATTAATCCTTGAACGGATTAACGTTGGTATGTGGGGCCACCACTGTACTTCAGTCAAATAAATGGGTTGATCAAAACAGCACAATTGGTCTGTTTTACATTTCTACATAAAATATGTACAATATAGCCAACTATCAAATCCAAAAGCTGTAATCAAATAATTATTTTATTCAGTAACAGTATGACTAAATGGGGATGGAGTGGATGGAATGACAGATGAGGACTAAAGAAACCTAGGTTCAGATTCCTATTCAGCCATAGAAGTTCAGGGGGAACAGTTGAAGTGATAAAAGCACTTCTTAAAGATCTCATTTACCAGGAGCTTGGCTGGCCCATTCCTGCCTGTGCCGGCAGCCAACCACTCTGATGAGGAGGTGGAATGGGGATTCTCTCTGAGCAGTCAATGAGTGGTCAGCCACTGATGGAGACGGGAATAGGCTGGCTGAGCTCCTACCTGGATTGGAGTGCAGCTGGAGAAGGACCCCAATAGTGTGCAAAGACCAGTGGGTGGGCCAGCCAGGGGAGATGGGAGATAGTGCCATGCAGAGGGTTTCGTACAAAACCCTTCATCGAGTTTCATGCCTATCTCGAGGAACTTCCCTCTGCTGAGTTTCCCTCTGCATTGTGAGTAGCAGAGACACAGGACCAGCAGACACAACCCTGTGTATTCATCCCTCCATGTAATTACGACTGCATGGACGTCAACACATGAAGAGGGTTCAAGTGAAGCACAGACACCCTTTTACACATGTGTATGATAATTCACAAAAACAGCAAGATAGAGCCACTACTGTATTCTCCTTGCAGCTGGTAATTGAAGTTTCCTCAATCCAGAGAAAGCAATTTACTTTTGGGACAAGACCCCACCCTGGAAAACCCATCTGCTAGTAAGTCATTTGTCAGCACTTCCCCTTTCCATATTTGTCCTCAAAAACCCCAACTTACATAAACAGAACACCAGGAATCTTATTAGAATCCACATTTTCACAGGGTTTTTTTTCATTTCTTTAATGAAAAGAAAGGCTTTGTTTTATCATCAAATTTTTAAGAATCTAAGCTACCAAAAGAAAAAAAGACATGTCCTGGATAGGCACAAACATGGCCAGAAACATGGAATTCCTAAAACCAACATTTAAAAATTACTAACAAAATTGTTCATCAGTGTTCACCAAGTGAAAATTTTAATGCCAAATCTTATATAGCAGAGAATTTGTTTTCATTTTATGATCAAGAGGATAATATTGCCAAGTAAGTTATCATATGCTAACCTTTAAGCATTACTGCCAAGTTTATTTTATGACAAGATATAGCTTTGAACAGCAAAAACTCATCATTGTTTTTCACTTACATATGCTTCTTGTGAAATTCAAGTATTTTTCCTTGCAGCCTTTCTTGGTTTGGAAAGTACTGGTTATTTTTAAGGTGCTCTCGGTCCCCTGATTCATCAAAGTCTCCAACCTCGGCTGTGGTAAAAGACAAAAATATATCTATTAATATATTATTGATTATTGCCTTGAAGACATAGACTTGAAAACAAAGACATAGACTTGAAAACAAATACTTGAAAGCACTTTAATTTACAAAAAAATGTTACATTTCCCACATCAAGCACTGTTCACTTCTTGGCTTTTTAAAAGAGACAGGATTGTTACTGTCTTTTGGAATTTCCATTTCCTAAGACGTGGAACTGCCTTTTTAACTAGGGCCAGAATCCTATTGCTCTATGCACTCATTCAGGGACCATAATACAAGCTACCTGTTTCCTGGGCTATCATGAGCCCCTTCATCCTGAGACTGTGATGAGACGCCAAGGAAACCAGTCCTATAGCTATACATAGACATCACATCTCTCTATCTACACCAGCTTTCCAACTTTGACAGACAGATAGAAGGGAAAGTGGGAAATCTATCTATCTATCTATCTATCTATCTATCTATCTATCTATCTATCTATCTATCTATCTATCTATCTATCTATCTATCTATCAAAGTGGGAAAGTGGTAGTATTAGGTTGCTGAACCAAGGGATGGGAAGTAAGATTACAACATCCAGCACCCTAATCATAAAAATCATTTCAAAATGAAGCACAAGAATGAGTGGAGCAGATGAAGCTTACCATATTTTTTGCTCCATAAGACACACCTGACTATAACACGCACATTTTTATCCTATACTGGAAGTCGCCTAGAGTGGTCAAGTAGACCAGATAGGCGGGGTATAAATCAAATGAATGAATGAATGAATGAATGAATGAATGAATGAATGAATGAATAAATGAATGAATGAATGAATGAATGAATGAATGAATGAATTTTTAGAAGAGGAAAACAGGAAAAAATATTCCTCTGTATCAGGGGTGGGCAATTAAATAAATAAACAGTGCAAGTCCCACACTGGGACTGAAAAAAAAACCTCACCAAAAAACAAAGCAACATAGAAACATAACCCCCACCCCAAACCTACCCTCCAAAACCCACCCAGAACATTATTTTAAAAAGTAAAAAGCTGCACCTTACCGGTACGAAGCCTCCTGGGGGTCTCCCACTACCGCCATTGCTGCCTTCCCAAGCCTCCGGAGGCCTCAGAAGGCACCGCAGAGGTCCCCCTCCACCACCATAATCTTAATTGCCGCTGCTGAGATC